CTTCTGAAATTTGCTATACTACTAGTACCTGTCCCCAAGTATCCCTGGCTGTGCCTTTATTAATCATTTTTTAAAGGTTAGAGCAAACATACATTTTGCTTTCTCAAGCTTGTTTTAAGGGGAAATGAAGAGCGTCTCTTTTAATCTACTCTGCCTACTTTCCCCTCAAAATTGGTGACTTAGAGATCTCGTTTGTACACACAAGTAGAATTTTGACAACAGGCCTGAGGGACCATATACCATAGAATCTGAGAAGCCAAACAATCACTTTCCTGTCTTTTGTAAAGCAATTTGCTTGCCATTTCATCAAAGTGTCTTTGTATTTTGAAATTCTTTGATTCCAGTTTATAGCGGCTAGATTTCCATATCCGAAGTAAACGAATTGACGTATTTGAACATCGTGTAATTTTAACAGGTTCATCTCTATTTTCCATGTCCCCTCCCACAAAGCTTCAGTTTTACTTTGATTTGATTTGGCCCCCGTGGCCCGTTCCTCTCTAATCCGTTTACAGATGCCCTTATGTCTGTCCGTGATATACATAACATCTTCAAGCCTGTTGCAGTCAGGAAGGCGAAACAGCGTCTGGCACCATGCAGTTCCATCGCATTACTGCTGTCAGATTGGTTGGACTGTATTTGTTCAAAGTGTATCAGTTTGTAGATCGTGCTGAAGAACAATAGTGTACGTGCCATACTTTGCATTATGTCTCATGGAGTCGTAGCGGCCATGCCCATTCCATGCCGCGTCGTCCATTCCTTTCAGTCGATTAATCAAACTGCCTGTACGACTCCCAGTGATTGCAGAAAAGATGAGTGATATCTGATAGAACATGCCGGTAGCCAGAATTTCCTTGGGGGCGGGTGGGGGTGTCTTCCCACTGAAGAACCAGCGAGCAACGAAGGCTGGAGCTTCCAAGGGGGTTGGGGGCCATGCTCCTCGGAAAATTTTGAAAATTGAACCCTCTGAAATGGCACTTTCTGAAAACTAGAGATAACTTTATTATTCAAAGTAAGCAGTTTTTGAGGATGCCAGCCCCGCTATTAATACAACCCCCGAACACCCCCCCTCGACCACGTACATGCCTCGAAATTATTAACACCACTTATCTTGAGTGTATCAAAAACGTTACTCGGTGTCATACAATGGCGCGTTCAGTGGTTCTCACAGTTTACACAACACGCACATGTACACGTACACGCCGGAACAAAAAGAGCTGGACATAGATGTACATTTGTGAAATACCATTTTATTTTTTCCAATCCTGCTTTCCATTTAATTTTTTTTTTTCAATCCTGCTTCTCTTGACTGGCGGTGCCGTAGTTCGCATCGGTGCTTCTTTTGCACGAGGACAGGTCGAGAGGGTGTGGCGTTCACCGCTGACCCCGCCTCGTCCTGTGACGTTCCCGCTGACATCGGCTCGGTTATCACTTTTGAGTCAAAAGTTGTTTTGTGATCTGCTAATCCGTCTACAGAACTACTGCAAAGACTTTTCCGGTTTGATTTGTATGCACCTGGGTCAACGTTACTCCATGTATGCGGTTAATTCTTTGTGTTGTGGTCAGGGCTTTAGCCAGCGCCCGTTTTACCGTCAATTGACGGTAATTTGTCCCGTCTGACGGTAAAAATTTTAGTCCTTACCGTCAACATTGACGGTCAAAAATCGTGGGTAAAGACATGGAAAAAATCTAGCGAATTTGAATGAGCCACGGCGCGGCGTCTTTTCCAAACGCACGGCGGCGGGAAACCTGATTTCAAGGACCGTGCCGACGTCTGTTGACTTGGCTCTATTGTTCAATGTTGCTGTCTGTTAAAACAACATGTGCTAACGGCCACATAAGAATAAAATAAAACAATGGCTCGACTCAGACACACGCTGCTAACTGTACATGACAATACGATAAATAAACGTGACAACGAACAAAGAAATATCAAACGTTTTTGAATAATATACTGTACTTGAATAATCATACTATCGCAAGAAAACGGAGATTGATCCACACAATGTGGCCTTATTTAATCTAAAACTTCGTCAGACCTCCTTCGCGCGAAGACTTGAGCGGCAGCATAAAGATTTCTGGAGGATCGCTGACACGCGAGTTTTTGCCGGCCACGTAACTCCCTCCGCGGCAAAATCCTCTATGCCGTAGCGAAATCACGTCTCAGCGCTTCCCCAAGTCAACTTCATGGCCGCTAAAGTCCGCAAAGGAGTTGTAACTTCCTCATTTCGGTAGAGAAGCGAAGCTGACAAGTAAAATCATGTACATGTCGGCCATTTTGTTTGCTACCCGAAGTCTTCCGAACGCTCTAAATAAGGAAATCGTCGGAGATCTGAGCCACATCGCCCGCTGTCGGTCAGCGCTCGGGCCCGGCTCGGTGGAAATCGGAGGCTGTGACGTCATGAGTAGGTTCATTTGCATGGCCGCGGCTTGAATCGCGGCGGGATTTGAGCGGATCAAAACAAAGGGCATAGCGGATTGTTCATTGCGCGTTGTCTCCTTGTGAGAACTGTAGTTTTTTTTTCATTCTGCAAAATTGCAGGTTGTGTAGTTTTTTTTTATTCTGCAATCTTGACGGGTATTTAGAACACCGAATGCATTAAGTGTGCGGGAGGGCGTGATGTCGATCACCGGATCATGAAAGACATTCTTTAAAAGTAATCATTGACCGAATTTTTTTTTCGCGTTGACGGTATTTTTTTTTTCGCGAATTGGGTTGACCTGGGGTTGACGGTAAAAAATTTCGAGCTGGCTAAAGCCCTGGTTGTGGTGCTTGTGTCTTTGTTTCCCTGAGTTGTCCTTTTTGAGGATTGTTTGGCTTCAAAATGGGTTGGAAAGTCTCTTGGCTCTTATGGGTCTTGAGATTGTTGCAGATTGTTATTGGGTGTATGTTAGCAATGTCAGCAGACACGTCAATCCCAAACAGCTTCAAAAACTCGGATATGCACTACTACTGAGTGTGTTGGGACCTTCAAAATGTCCTGCTCATTACACTCCATACAACCAGTCGTGACAACATCCTCTGGTACATCTTCCTTTGCACAATTCGTAATTTCTGTTTAACATGTAAATCATACTCATTAATCCGTTTACAGCCCAAACATTTTATTGTGACTAGCCATTCCCCTTGGATTTCAGTGCAGGCAGTTCCTTTGCAGCTCCCTCCTTTCCGTCCGTGAATCTGACCGCTTGTCATGTGACGCCCAGTTAAGGAAAGGTTTTTGTGCTTGCCAAAGCCTTAACACAAAACTGGTAGCTAGTTGCATTTGGGATAAAACTGCATGAGCCATTATGATATGATAATATATTATGATTGAAATCATTCAAAGCATGATGAAATTAACTTCTTTTCCAGAAGGTGGCAAGGAGGAAGAGGGCTCTGGATAATTGCAACATTGACAGCTGGGATAAGAAGGAACCTGAGTAGAGCAGCGGAGATCCTGGACAAGAACTACATGTCGTCTGAGTCCAGCGGGGACGAGGTCCAGGATCTTCCGCGGCTCATAGCAAGACGTCTCGCCTGGGAGCCAAGCGACTTAAGAAAGATCTTGATAATGTTTGCCCACCGAAGGGTACCCGTCGAGAGCGCACGTAACTGCCATCTGACAGGTCGGTTCCCGACATGGGCAAAGCACGGAGGTCCAACGACCTTGGTAGCAGTTTAGAGAGCGCAAGTGGCAGCAACGTGAACGAAAATTAATCTGCACGCTAACAACGTTAACATGGGAAGGAATGTGTTATTTTCAGATTCACGGACGGAAAGGAGGGAGCTGCAAAGGAACTACCTGCGCTGAGATCCAAGGGGAATGGCTAGTCCCAATAAAATGTTTGGGCTGTAAACGGATTAATGAGTATGATTTATATGTTAAACAGAAATTACGAATTGTGCAAAGGAAGGTGTACCAGAGGATGTTGTCACGACTGGTTGTATGGAGTGTAATGATGAGCAGGACAGGTATTTGAGAATGAAGGTCCCAACACACTCAGTAGTAGTGCATATCCGAGTTTCTGAAGCTGTTTGGGATTGACGTGTCTGCTGACATTGCTAACATACACCTAACAATCTGCAGCAATCTCAAGAGACTTTCCAACCCATTTTGAAGCCATACAATCCGCAAAAAGGACAACAACTCAGGGGAAAAAAGACAAGCACCATAACACAAAGAATTAACCGCATACATGGACTAACATTGACCCAGGTGCATACAAATCAAACCGGAAAAGTCTTTGCATAAGTTTTTTAGACGTATTAGCAGATCACAAAACAACTTTTGCCTCAAAAGTGATAACCGAGCCGATGTCAGCGGGAACGTCACAGGACGAGGCGGGGTCAGCGGTGAACGCCACACCCTCTCGACCTGTTCTCGCGCAAAAGAAGCACCGATGCGAACTGGGGCACCGCCGGTCAAGAGAAGCAGGATTGAAAAAAAATTAAATGGAAAGCAGGATTGGAAAAAATAATAATAAAATGGTATTTCACAAATGTACATCTATGTCCAGCTCTTTTTGTCCCGGCGTGTACGTGTGTGTGTTGTGTAAACTGTGAGAACCACTAAACGCGTCATTGTATGGTAACGAGTTATCGTTTTTGATACAGTCAAGATAAAATAGTGGTATTAGTAATTTAAAGGCATGTACGTAGTCGGAAGGAGTTTGGGGTTGTATTAGCAGTGGGGCTGGCATCCTCAAAAACTGCTTACTTTGATTAAAAAGTTTTTGTTTATTTAACATATTCTACGAAATACATGATCAAAGAATAAAAAATGACAAATATGCCGGGGGAGGCCAAAAACCTCTTAGTCTTTTTCACGGGCCGACTCCGACTTAACTGTTCTCCTAGTGCGGACCAACTCCTCTGGCATATGACCTGTCTATTCAGCCAATTCTACTCTTTCCAGCCGCTTAAAGATCCCAAAGCCTGATAGAGGCAATTAGTCGTGCAGAAGACAATAATTGTACCACATTTCAATGCGCATGTGCGCCAGGAAGGAAACCGGTTCAACCGGATCGGTGACGTCTTTTTTCTACGTCACAAAGGTTACAAAGGGTTATGCTGTGCCTAAGCGAAACACCGGGTCATATCAACATTCTGATGCCTGTACGTACATGAAACTCTGTACGTATGGAAGCAGTCCTGTATCTTCGACTGAGGTCGTACAATATCACAGACTGCTTGTAGATTCTTCAGCAGTACGCTGACCCCAGTAGCTATCGAGACTCTGAGCGTATTCGTCACAAAAATCGCGACGCTACGTCTTGTTGACAGGTAAGTTTGACACGTTGCAATGTTGATGTTGTCTTCCTTTACCCTTACTCTATCTTAGAAGAAAGTTTGTAGATTTGTCGTAAAAATACTAGGCCTGGGCCGTTATGCAGACGACTTCTTACACATTTTCATTCATGTAAATAAAAGAAAAAATGGTTTGGCTGCATGAATCCTGGCCTAAATATTATGCAATAGGTGTATTGAAAGCCTTTCATAGTCTGTAAATGTCTTCAACTTGCCCCTCCCAATAAGTTCGTAGATTAAGTCGTAAGAGGGCTGAATCCTTGCCATATGACTTCTAGCAAGATTTTATTCAAGTGCATATGGTTGCTGTATGAATATTGATCCAAATATAATATCCCTGGCCCCTGCCCTATAGGCTGTATATTAACTTGGCCCCCTCCCACCTGACCCCATTTGTAGCAGCTTCCAATGAATTAGCCAGTCGTTAACAACAACCAGCACGACACGTGACACGGATAGCCTGAAGTGTAGGAATTACTGGAGACAGCACGCCAAAACAATCACAACCTACAGAACTAAAACTTGATCAAATATATAATCGGCAAAAACAAAGATACAAGGCCAAAGCAAGACGGCCGATGCCGATTATGCAAATATCGTCTGAATTGACAGTTTGACACAGTGTCTAACTCTTCTCATTAAAAAATGGCAAAACCAAGAGCAAGAATCCATAGAATACATGTACAGTGTCTCCTTCCCCGGAAGCAAGGTAATATCAAAGAAAATATGTGGGAAGTACAACGCCCTCCTACTGCCTTGGTAACTACTAGGCATGTGTCTGGTCACCGTGACTTTAGCACAGGTACAACTGAAATATCTGTAAGGATTGAAGTGTAGTTCTCAAACATCCAACTGTCTTGACTATGATTGTTTTTTTAATTACAGGTGAGGCCGTTAAGTTTCAAGCTCCAAGCAGCCAGCAATGTCGTGCCGACGGCTACGTCGACATACATCGTCCATCTTCGTCTTCCTGTTGTTCCTTCTACCGATGTACCTCGGCATTCTGTACGTTCTGAAATGCGGCGACCCTATCATAGATAGTTACATCGTTCAGAAAATGGACGTTGGGGCGCCTGTGGAGAAGTATAAAACGTTTCTCGCGGTTTTGGTCACGACTTCGTCGAATCACATAGAGAAGAGGGACGCCGCTAGAGAGACGTGGCTAACCTACGGTAATAGCAGTATGTTCAAACGTTTTGTGATCGGCACAGGGTCGGCAGACCAGAATGAGGTGGCTAGACTGAACAGAGAAAACAGGGGGCAAGGAGACTTGTTACTTCTAGACAATGTACACGACTCTTACTCCACTCTGTCGTCGAAAGTTCTTCACATGTTGGCATGGCTGGACAAAAACGTGGACTTCGAATACGTTCTAAAAGTAGACGACGACTCGTTCGCAAGACTAGACGTCATGGAGAAAGAACTGAAGCAGAGAAGCGGGGAGTCTCTCTACTGGGGATTTTTCCACGGCGACGCTAAAGTTCCAAAAGAAGGGCCGCTAGAAGACCACGACTGGGTGTTATGTGACCGGTACGTACCGTACGCGCTTGGGGGAGGTTACGTGCTGTCTGCGGATTTGGTACACTACATCGCCGCTAACGTGGACTCGCTGAAGCTCTACCGGAGCGAGGATGTCACTGTGGGGGCATGGCTGGGGCCGCTGAGTATCAAGAGAGAACACGACGTCCGGTAAGTGAACATCTTTTCATCAGTGAGATAACTTTTTTGAATTTTAGTTCTATGAAAAATTTAGGTATTGTTGTTAGCTCTTGATGTGTTTCATTACATGACCTCCTTGACAGCTAGCAGCTGGTATTTTTACCTTTTACGATACAGAAGAGCATTTGCAAAAGGAACAACCTTTACTGTACAAATAGGTAAATATATCAAAGACTGTTTAGACCTTAGGACAAGTAGTATAAGTTGTTTCATCTGTAGTCTTGTACATAGGTCAATTCTTTTATACCCACGTGTCTGTCTTTATGTCTAGTTATAGAAAGTCGCTGTACGTTTGTTGTGTCAATAAAGTTCTCTTTCATGTACTGTAGGTTCGACACCATGAACCATTCCCGCGGCTGCAGTAACCAGTACCTGGTGACGCACAAACAGTCGGAGGACGAGATGAGGAAGAAACACCAACATCTGCAGAAGACAGGGAGGCTGTGCGAGACGGAGTACAGGAAGGCCAAGTCTTACGTCTACGACTGGACGGTCCTGCCGTCAGCGTGCTGCAAGAAAAAATCCGGGATCATTTAAAGCTGCATTATGTAACATTAGAAGGACACAAACAGATACAATTGTTGGGGTCATTTTTTTACAAAGGAAGTTGAATCAACCCCTACTCCACTGCAAATACATGTAACCGCCATTCAGGACGTGGAGTTACTAAAATATGATGCCTTACGTCAAGTTACGTGTGTGTAAAAGCTGAAAACAAAGCTGTCAGCCATGTTTGTTTACATTAGGGTATTTTTGGTGGTACCACAAAGTTGGTGCGCCTGGTGAGGGTTGCTTCAGCGCAAACTATATAAATGTGAGAAAATAGTATATGATAAATTGAAAAGATATGTTGAAAAGTGGAAGTAAATTATAATCACAAAAAGTTTTTTTTTTGCAATTAAATTTTTCAATTTTTGGTTAACAAATATAACATAATGTCCTTTTCAGCCCCTGCCACACATTCACGATTCTGGCCTCCCGAACACTAGCCGAACGCCTCCCAACCATTTTTCGGAGTAGGTCGGCGCAAAGTCGGCTGGTATTCGGTGAATTCGGCTGTGCCAGTCGAATGTTCAAAATGTTTTAAGTATTCGGGATTGGTCTAGAGGTTCGATCATGGCTGGCTGAACAGCCAGCATAACATACAGAAATCTGTAGAAAACGGCTACTTGTTTCCTAGGCCTGTTGTTGGCTGGTTCTAATGACTATACATGGGTGGTTCCAAAAATGAAGGGTCTCATCGTGTAGCTTGTTTCTGGGCTATTACAAACGCTTCAAATATGAAATGGTGACGGACTTTTTCGAAGAAATTTCAGTAAATGTCGATTTCTTCATCCAGAATATTTTTGTTGCTTTTTTGCTTTGCTGCCTTGAAATTACATCGGATGGTTCAAACTTTATTGTGCAATCATTGATTAGACTGGATTGTTTATAAATTATGACTTTTGCTATATGACTGAGAAATTGGGTTTTTGAAGGTCATAAAGATGAACTGTACAATAATGACATTTAGGTTTCTGTAAATTATAATTGGCCAGTTTGGCAATTGTAAATTGGCCAGTTGATATAGCTTGGCCAATTTGATTCTGTCTTTGCAGCGGCTAGCCACCAAACGATCTGCTTAGAAATTAGCTAGAAAGTACAGTTGGCAATCTTCTACTCTTTTCAGTCGCCTTCCGAAGCCTGGTAGAGGCTACTAGAGGCTACCGGATTATCATAAATCCTGTGAAAGGACAGCCGTGGGAATGAAAAAAATAGAAATGTGACCTATAAAACATATGTATTATTATACACGTGTAATTCCAGTCTCGTGCAATATGTTGAAGTGGGTCAGAGGACATCTTAATATTGAACAGCCCACATACCAACAAAGGTACGTGTAGCATTTGTGGCTACAGTCAACTTTTTTTTCATTCGTGCAGAGCTTTTGCTACAGTCAACATTTTTCATTCAGAGTTTTTGTTAATTTCTTGTTTCATTCATAATTTACCTTATATTGGCCTTGCCAACAGGTATACACACTTACGACCGTTACTACTACAACTAGTACGTATATGAGTATGGATTTGTTAGCACTTCAGACCTTATTAAGTTATTTGAAGGCTAGTCACGCCGATGGGAAGTTATACCGTCTATACAGATATATACAGTTACAGAATCGTGTAACCTGTAATTTGTTTTATTTTTATATGACCCTGACTTCCTCCTAGGGCAGTAGACCGATTCTTAGTACTTTATAAATAAAGGAGGTAAACGTAGTGGACTCTCCTTGGTAAGAAATAAAAGCGTTAATACTGAATAAATCTTGAAAATAAGCTTCAAACGTTTGGTGAACAGAAAAGGTGATCACACATCTCTTTCCAGTTTTTTAAAAGCGTCATCTGTCTAGACGCCAAGAGCAGAACGTACTACGCCTGCGCGGAACTGGCAATATTATTTTGTAGAGCACTTTGGTATACCGTCTGGTTTAAATACCGTGTTTACGTATTCTACATTTAGATGACTCTATAATTCTCAAATGTTGTGTCGGAAAAGATATCCTCCGCAAGAAGAAAAATTGTAACGTTGACCAAATAACATCCAACGAAAACCGTGAAAAAAATCCAAGTTTCGCACAGGCCCAGTAGTATACTACAAGTGGTATATTCTGCCGACGTGCTGACTTCACGAATATGCATGTCAAAGCCATACCTCTGCCAGGCTTCGGGAGGCGGCTGGAAAGAGTAGAAATTGGCCAGATAGACAGATGATATTCCAGTGGAGCACCTGGGTCCACGTTAAGAGAACAGTTTACTGCTCTTGCTGTTTTAGCGCGGACCAACTCCCCTGGTGCATATTATTTGTCTATTTGGTCAATTTCTAATCTTTCCAACCGCTTCCCGAAGCCTGGTAGAGGCTACGAGTTTCGCACAGTCACATAGAATTTTACCGACGTGCTGACGTCACGCATATGTTTATTAAAGCTTTGCCTCGTGTCAACCACCGCGCCCACGTGATGGTTATGGTTATACACGTTTTCTGCGAATCCATATCAAAACTGCCAAGTAATTGTCTGGCGAAAAAAAAAAACGTAGGCGGAACACACCCTGTAGGCACGAACCAGCTACGTACGTGCGATTGCGATTACTTGTTTTATTTTATTTCGCCATGACTGGCGATTTCAATACAGGCTAGTTAAACCTATCTACAGCAGAGAGAGATGGGTGCTACCAACAGGCGAAGATTCCGTGCCGTGTCCCCGGTGGTTTTGGTGTGGCTGGCCGCGATGGTCGGGCTGGGCCTGCCCATATCCTGCCCTGACAAGTGTACGTGTGAGACAGAGGCGGCGGACTGTAGCGGTAAGAGCCTCACCAGCATCCCTGAAGGCTTCGCTGCTTCGACCCAGAACGTGTAAGTACAAACTACTACTAGCACTCAAAAAAAATCCACAGATTTTCCAAAATCATACCCAGTTGCTTGAGTAGCTGTTTTTTTTTTGGCGTATCTTATTACCTGGATGTCTAACCTTCACCGACGTACTACTAGTACTCTCCAAGCAGATGTTGGTGGGAATTCGAAGGATTGTTACCTTTCTACTATGCCCCGTTCTCTGTTGTAGCGACAGAAAAAACAGGGCATAAAAAGACGGAAAACGACAGAAAAATCGTAGCAACCTTCACCACCAACCTCTGCTTGGAGAGTACAGACTACCTGGTGTCTATACGAGTCTTGATTTTTAACTCCGACTCAGTTATTTTAGAAACAAACGGTAAAATGCCCTACCACCCTGTTTACCCTAACTCTAATCTACAGAAAGGGAGAAAATGCCGTTTATCTAATACGTCTATAACTTAACCTGTCATGTAGAAAATCCGATTGACCCATAACATTGACCAAGCGGTCCTTATGTAGAGGTAGTCACCTGTACAGGTTTGACTGTATTTGTTCATGTCTAGTAGAGTCTTTATTGTGGTGACATTTTTTCTTTGGATTACTGCATCACATATTTACACTAATTACAGTCAGAAAGTGCCATAAATTAGAGAAAATTATTGTACAGCATTGTTCCAATCATTATTAGCTACATTCGCGGGCATTAGCCTCCATCGATAGAAACTTGCATTTGTTTTAGGTGAAAAGAATGAAAACGTCTAAGATACACTTTGTTTTGCTTTGTTTTGTTTTGTTTTGTTTGAATGTCATAACCGATAAACCGCATTTAGGCGGTTTACACCGGTTTTGTAAGTAAGCGCAAGCTAGCCTAGGCCTCTGCCAGGCTTCGGAAGGCGGCTGGAAAGAGTAGAAATTATTCAAAGAGGTAACATGCCAGAGGAGTTGGTCCACTAGATAGTGCAGACTAACTGATGCTAGGTACTCATTTTCACCTGGGCTGAGTGGGGAACTTAGGTGCATTTTTCCAGGGCCTGCTACGAATTCGAACCACAAACCTTGACTCTCTAAACTCTATTTACAAGGCCACCTCCTCCCATTTTGATATAAATCAAATTTATTTTTCTGTTTCGTTTGTTCTGTCAAAATTCATATCCAACAAATTACAAGAAAAAAGAACAACCACGATAGGGATCATACGTGTATGTTCTATACAGTTTTGCGGAAATATATATGCTAACAACAGATTCATGTATGATATTGTTGCGATTCATGTATGATACGATTGGCTATTGCAGGTGGGAATATGCATGTGTACTGGCCTACGTGCATACGTGTATGTACCGGCCTACGTGGTGTTTTGATATGAAAAAAAATGTCACCTTTATTCCAGCACAAAGTAATAGACCCGGTTGTCTGGTGCGTTTTTTTTTATGTTGGACTGAAGTTGAATTTTGTCCATGTTGTTTTTACCGACACAGCTAAAAACTCAAGTATAGATCATTCTGATGTGTGTTGGTTTTGTGCTCATGAGAACAGAGGCCTCGATACAAGCTCATAGTTTGATCCGTGACCTGGCGAATAATGGTTGTTTTTCTTGACAAAATAACAATCCCACATCACGAATTACTCGTGGTAGGAATCATTTTAATGGCCCATTGGTCTTTAAGATAGAATCCCTGCATTTTTTAACATTTGGTGAAAGATGCCCGTGTTCTGATATGCTTTTTCTTTACTCTCCAAGCAGAGGTTTTGGTTTTGGCTTATTTTTGCCGTGTTTTATGCTTTTTTTATCGGGATTTCTTTTTTTGCACTGGTATCCTTTTTTACGTCAACCCAACCATGCACAAAAAAGTATGCCCGATAAAAACGCCTAAACACGGCAAAAAATATGCCAAAACCCAAACCTCTGTTTGGAGAGTACTTTTTCTTCATAGACTAACACCCTTTCCAGACTAACACCCACAATGCACAGCAAAATCCATCACGCGAGGGAAAAATTCATAAACATGTAATCACGCGCTTCTGTAGACTAATCTTTGCGCTAAATCTAAAAGCAATCGTGTGTTTGGAACAGGCCACTGAAGATGCGGGGGGCATTTTCACATCCGGAAAGGCTCAGTGGCGAAGGCCATGTGGATATTAAAGGAAACTACTCCAAGAAGTACAATATATATGATGGAACTAGGGTGCACGTGTTTGGCCCAGAAATCGAGGTGGCCTCGGTTCGATTCCTGCCATGTCACCAACCTTATGTCCTTGGGAAGGACTTTCCTCACTCCACCCAGGTGTAAAATGGATACATCACTTCGGTGATGCATGGGAGGCAAAAATGCAACCAACCACATTTGTTGTGTTCTCACAGGGACCTTTCCCGTAACAAGATACGCCGCATCAGGAAGGACGAGTTCCGCGGAATGGGCCACGTTCTGTCGATGTATGTATGTCGTACCAGGCTTCCAAATACAAACTACATACCCCCAACACACTTGCACGCACATAGACATAATCTTCATTCAGATCATTCAGTGGCTGCACAGACAGTATGATCAAATTGGCCAGGCTGTATCCATTTGCCACAGTTATTACCATTTTGCTACCCAAAGTGATAACTGTCTGATTTGATACTGTCTTTGCAGCTACCCAAAGATCTGCTTGAAGATTAGTCCATGTTGATTTGATTATATGGATGAAATCCGCGCGCACATGGATTTTCGTCCGTTTCCCAAAAAAAGTTTTCGACCGTAAAGTAAATCACCTAAAGTAGCTGCAAAATGAGCAAATTGCAAAAAAATATATTGGAAAAACGTCGATGAAGGTTAGACATCCAGGTAATACGATATGCCAAAAAAACGTTACTCAAGCAACTGGATATGATTTTGAAAACGTCATTGACGTTTTCAAAATCATATCCAGTTGCTTGAGTAACTGTTTTTTGGCATATATTGGAAAAAGATACTTATGTCGCAGAATGCCAAAATCCATTTCAAAGGACAAGAAGAAAATGTGAAGGAATAAAAATGAACAGTCTATTGCCATGCCAATAAGATATCACTCTGTGTGTTTAGTCATTTGTGCAACCTTCATGACCACCTAGATTTCACAATGAAGACAATTTTTTTTGGTTCCTAGAGGATGTCATACATATAATTAAATCAACATGGCCTTACATAGACACACGCATGCACCTGCCGTGCTACTCATTTCCGTCTCGTATACGGTCGTTGCCATTTGAAACGGTCGAGGACATATTGCTGAAGGACAAGTTTTGTTTCCTGTTTTAAGGTGTAAGGATGAATCAGAGCTTGTACTCACATTTTATTTTATTTTTTGTTTATCAGGATTCTTTTGTACATTTTCAATTGTTCATTTATAATAGCAACTAATTTGTTACAAGTGAAATGATAATAGGTAATAGCAATGAAAAGATGGTCTGATAATAACTAATATTAACACATACATAAACGTGCACAATGATAACTGGGAATAGAAGAAAGAAAATAATGTGGATATTAAAGTTGTTCCCTTGATTCTCTGTTAGGTCGCTGTCAAAACAGGCACGTCTGCTCTCTCTGCTTAACGGCGCTTTCCAGGGACTCTCCAAGCTACAGATACTGTAAGTATCACTCTCCAAGCAGAGGTTCTGGCTTTGGCTTAGTTTTGGCATGTTTTTAGGCTTGTTTTATCGGGCTTTCTGTTTTGTACTGTTATCTTTTTGTTGCTGGCACAAAAAATGCTTATATATAAACATATCTAAACCTCCCGGAAGTTTGAAATCTCTGTTTTCTTGTTACTCCACAGGAATCTGTCTGCAAACCAGCTGAACTACATGTCGCCTGGTGTGTTTGACGGCTTGGGGAACCTGCAAACGCTGTAAGCATTTCTCTCTGATTTTTTGAAACTAAAAAAACAACTTCCAATTCAAGCAATGAAAGCAATATACAATATTTTAAAGACCCAAATCAGAAACACAATGTCTCTTCCCAAGCTTAAGGCCTTACGATATTTGACTACCAGTATGTATCATAATTACTCCCCAATGTAACTCCTCTCTCTGTAAGTACTTACTGGACGGAAATACTATTTTGGGTGGCTTAATTTATTTTTTATTTTTTAGTATTTTTTTTTTTATTCGTTTATCAAAGAGATGTACATACAGCGAAAATGGCTTAATTTATGTTGCGTTTGTATGTATGGGTTTTAGATAACGAGGACTGTTTGTCGTTGTTACTTGCAGGTACCTGAATGACAACAGTCTGAGTAACCTGAAGCCTGGTCTGTTCGTCCCGCTCAAGAAGCTACAGGAAATGTAAGCCGTAACGAAACATTTCTTCGTCATTTACAAATAAAAATTGTTTTGGTTGGGAAATCCACTGATCGTATAATACCACCTTTTGTTTGTTTGTTTTGCATATTTGGTAGCCCGCCATTATGCGCCGCACAAGGCACACCTAAGTAGACCTGTGAAGATTGGTAACCTAGCTAGTTTTGTGGTGGTTTATATATAGGTTTTGATGTCGATTGTCTATGACACATTAGATCTCTGGAGAACAACCACCTGTCCACCCTGACTGAAAACGTGTTCGCCAAACCGCTCGGAACCCGACTGCTCATGTAAGAATGCTTCAAATTTCTCATCTAATCTCATCTTTTTCTTAATCTCCAAGCAGATTCTGTGGGGCAAGAACACTCTATACTGGCAACCTGTATCCACGCGGGGTGGCCAATGATTAGAGGCTGCCAATATAGACTCCTCTTGCCCCACAGAATCTGCTTGGAGGTTATATATCTCTTAGCCTTATTCTTTGACCATTGTGGCACCACAAAAGATCTGTCAGACAGTTTCCTTCCTTTTGATTGACGGTTTCTCACCAGACAATTCATTTCCCTTGTCTCCGCCAGACTAACTACGCTGGCTATATATAGGCCAGGGGAATTTGGCCGCCTTAGGGTTTGACTGGCCGGGGAGGGAAAGAATCAACCTTCCGCGGACTGACTTTCCTGGCTAATTTTACTATCTTTTTTTGCGAATGCTACGATTTGTATTCCCGTAGAATGGTCTGGGGGAGGCTATCATCTCCCTACCTTGTGACTTCAGGGCAGACAGTACAATTACCTTTGGCCATAGGAACCTATGGTTAAATACACTGAAACAGGTCCCCATGAATGTAATTTCTCACATTTCAATATCAAAAATTCTTCTGCGCCAGAGAGCCACAAGGGTCTGCCTCCCAGATATATAAAGAAAACAAGGGATTGACCAGCTCAAACTCTGACAACAGCTTAACAAACCCTACTTTTGAACTTAATTTTCCTATGTATCCATCCGCCCTCGGTAGGCAAGACCCCATCACTCGGGTTTCTCATTATGCCCACTAAATTGGTGACATGGACAAAATTCGACCAAAGCAGGAAAGTTTAGAGCCTACCTGTTCATTCTAGCCCTAAAGTCTCCAAACTGGACCAAAATTTTCCAGAGAAAAAAGGATTTTCAAAGGTATTAACTCGGGAACTACAATCGTTCCAATTTTGGGGCCTCTACTGCGCAACGCAATTGTGACGTCTGCCCTTCCCTCCCAGGTTTCTGAAAGGCAACGAATGGGTGTGCGACTGCGCCACCAAGTGGCTGCTGTCGCACACTGCAGCCAAAGGCCTGTCCCAGACCGCCTACTGCGTGGCGCCAGAGGCCTTCCGCGGCAAGGAGATGAACAACGAACTGCACGGCATCATCAAATGCGGTGAGTACAGACAGGGCTCGAAATACTGGGTGAATATGCACCTTAGTGCAGGTAAAATTGGAGATGTGCTTTGCAAATGTTACCTTTTTTATGCAGTATAGTACGTTTAAACTGTAATGTCGAAGAAAAAGAATTGGACTTACCCAAATTTTCGGCTGTACAACTCCAGTCTTTTCAAGGAATGAGCAGTCCCCGCTTCCTTGACGTCACGTTATGACACACGTGACTCGGTGAGTTGCAGAAAGTCTATACCGCCCCCGTCTTTGTTAAGGGAAGGTTGTAGTTTAAAATTCCTACATAACGTCTACCACAGATAAACTTTCAAGATAAGATTTCATGCTTCTTGTTTTTATGCTGCTCTTTGGCTGCAGACGATAAGGGCTAGCTGCTGCTGGAAGGCGGGTTCCAGCTGTACGACATGCGGCTGTCACCATGGTAACATGTTGCTGTTTTTTTACTGCAGACGATAAAGGTCAGCTGCTGCAGGAAGGCGGGTTCCACCTGTACGACATGCGGCTGTCACCATGGTAACATGTTGTTTTTTTTTTACTGCAGACGATAAAGGTCAGCTGCTGCAGGAAGGCGGGTTCCAGCTGTACGACATGCGGCTGTCACCATGGTAACATGTTGTTGTTTTTTTTACTGCAGACGATAAAGGTCAGCTGCTGCAGGAAGGCGGGTTCCACCTGTACGACATGCGGCTGTCACCATGGTAACATGTTTTTTTTACTGCAGACGATAAGGGTCAGCTGCTGCAGGAAGGCGGGTTCCGGCTGTATAACATGCGGCTGTCACCATGGTAACATGTTGTTTTCGCCTGCAGACGATAGGGGCCAGCTGCTGCAGGCAGGCGGGTTCCACCTGTACGACATACGGTTGTCACCATGGTAACATTTTTTTTTGCTGCAGACGATAAGGGCCAGCTGTTCCAGCTGTACGGCATGCGTCTGTCACCATGGTAACATGTTGTTGTTTTTGCCTGCAGACGATAAGGGTCAGCTGCTGCGGGAAGGCGGGTTCCAGCTGTATGACATGCGGCTGTCACCATGGTAACACTTTTTTTTTGCTGCAGACGATAAAGGTCAGCTGGTGGAGGAAGGCGGGTTCCACCTGTACGACATGCGGCTGGTGCTGGTGACTGCAGGCGGGGCCGGGATCAGCTTGCTGGGCCTGGGGCTGTTCTGGATTCGCCTGCGCAGAAGGTAAGCTTAAAAAGACTTTCTTTACACAACCAATTTTTTTTCAGTCAACGTTTAGGTGACCGTCTGTCACCTTCCAGTTCGAATTTCTCTGAGGACGGTACGGTGACCGAGGGCTTTTAATCAATTCATTTTGTTTTTTAGCCCTTGACTCAATAACTCAAAGATGAATATGTTGGGTCGTGTGGCGCAACAACGGGGTGCTCGGCTCGGAACAAAGAGGTCCCGAGTTTGAATCCTGTTATGCCACCATGATCTTGTGCCATTGGGAAAAGCACTTTACACGGTCTTCCTCACTTCACTCAGGTGATCATGAACATGGTTATTGTGTGTTGTCCTCTGCATTGTGGCAGCATACGCTGAAAAAACTTTCGCGTGCCGTCAGCATATCTTGAGTTTAATTTATCAAAATTAAACACACGACGTTCTCCACACTCTGTCTCTTGCAGGAAGAAGTCGATGACGGACATGGGCCTGCTGCCTCCCGAGGCCTCCTGCTGGGACGTGCTGCCGTTCGTGTGCTGCGGACCCAACCTCCCTGCGGACGTGCAGCAGCAGCTGTCATCTACTCTCCGCAACGGGTCAGGACCTTTCCTAGACTACATACATACATACATGTTGTACATACATTTTAATGGATAAAAAGGCAACTGCCTGTGAGATCCACATCTGAAACCTTATAACTAATACAATACATAAAATTACAAAAATATAAAATAAACATTGTCCTCGCTAATATAGTTCGGAGATTGTTGCTAAACGTTCAGATTTACAATGTTCAGAGTTGTACTTGTAATATTCAGAGTTCAGAGTTTGTAATGATCAGAGTTCAGAATTTTTAATGTCCAGATTTCAGAGTTTGTAATGTCCGAAATATCAGACTAAAACGGGAAATTAAAAGAAAAGTTTAAAGCTACATTGTGTAACATTCTGACGATACGACGATTGCATTTTCTGATCATTTCTTTACAAACTAAGTCAAATCAACCTTATACAGTCCATTACAGATTAGTGCCATTCAGGACGTTTAGGTTTCATAATATGACGCCTTACGAGAACGTGTTAAAAGGCACCACATGCACAGCCGTGGGTCTCGTGTGGGCTGTTTTAGCACCAACCATAAAGATCAGAAATATATTAATGACTGGCGTCTCTGTTCTTTCCCAGGGTTCCGTGCGACAGAAACGACTACGCCATGAATCCCGGGGAACAGCAGTCCAAGTTGGACTCCGTCAACTGCCTCAGGTAAAGAGTCAAGAAACTCAAATGATTCAATGTACCATGTCCCAGTGTGGACTCAAACACACAAACACACAAACCCTCAATTAGCGCTACAAAGACGCCTTTCCGGAAGTAGTGATGCTGACACAGTTTCTGCACGAAGAGCTTGTGTATAATCTTAATTTTTGACCCCGAAATCGTAAATATTCTTCTTTTTTTCCATTCTTTGTGTATATGTGTGTTAATGTTTAATTTTGTAAGTATTATTCATTCAGGCAATATTGTATTATATTGTATTATTTCTGCAATGTTGATATGTGCTTTATTTCCTCCATTAGGAAGCATATAAGTGTCATATTATGTAGCTTATCTACCTGGAGTTAGACGTAACGTTACATCATACAAACTACATCAAAATTAAAACATTATTTACTTACAACTTAAAACTTAAACTTACATTTAAAACAGAACATCCCGTGCCTAATCCACTAGTTAGTATATCGCGTTACCACATGTGTCAAGAAGGAAAGAAAGAAAGAATTAGAGAGAAAAAGAAAGGTAGAGAGGGGAGAGAAACAAAAAAGAGAGAGAGGGAGAGAGTAAGAAAGAAAGAAACATATAACGTTCCCTTTTTACCGACTCTAGAGCCAAGAGCCTGGGTCTGGCCGACAGTTTCATCGAGCAGCTGACAGGCGTGTTCCTGGACGAGCGTCTCCTGAACCTGCACAATCAGCCACTGGGGGAGGGCAGCTTCGGACGGGTCCTGAAGGGGGAACTCAACCTGCCGGGGAACGACAAGATCCCCATCGCTATCAAGACCAGCAAGGGTAAGCAGGCGACCTGGTTTACATTATTTTTTTTACTCATTTCACTCTTTTGTGTTTTTCTTGTAAATAAAATATGTCTCAGTCCGAATGATAATGTCTCGACGCAATTCAGCCGTCCTGTTTCCAATGCTTGTCACAATTTTATGCATCTTTTGAAATAAAATTTTATATATGAATGGTTTATTTCAAAAGATGAATACATATCATTTCTACGCGTACTTTAATGCTAAAGCTAGTAAAGACAACGTTTGTAGTTGTGTTTTCTTTAAGGTGTTCGGAACATATAGCTACCAAAACAATTACGCGTTCGAATAATCAGTTAGGGCTTTTTATTATCTTTTGCTCTTTAATTTCGCTCAGTTAAGTTCCACTTTTGATGTCTTTCAAGCCGTTTATTGTTTCTCACTTGCTTAGTAATACGTTTCGATGCCTGTCAGATATAAGGGTACTGCTTCTCGCCGCTAAATATAGCCTGTTTTTTTCGGACGTGTCAAAATTGTGTTTTTCCTCTAGATTTCCGCACCACGCCCGACCTGGAGAAGTTCCTGAGCGAGGGTCTGGTCATGCGCCACTTCAAACACCCCAACATCATGAACCTGCTGGGCGTGTGCATGCGCGATGACGCCTCGCCGCTCGTCGTGCTCCCGCTCATGGACAAGGGCGACCTGCTCTCCGTGCTGGTCAAGTCAAGGAAGAAGGGCGAGGACGGCAAAGTCAAGGTTAGTTATTACCTATTTTTGGTGTGTGTGTGTGTGTGTATGTGTGTGTGTGTGCGCGCGTTTGTGTGTTGCGTGTCTGTGCGTGTGCGTTTGTGTGTATGTATATGTGTGTGTGTGTGTGTGTGTTTGTGTTTGTGTATGTGTGCTGGTGCACGCCTGTGTCAGTGTTAGTGTTCAGCACCAAGGACAGGAACATCTTTGTATATCCCTGCGTGTATATGTATGCATGTATATCCATCCATGCATGTAAACTGCTGGTTTTCGTGGTTGCCAATTGGTCACCAAGTGGTTTTGTGTCCTTGCCGTTGATAGGCGGAGAGTGAGTTCAAGCTGGACGAGCTGCTGTTCTTCGCCTATCAGGTCGCCTGTGGCATGGAGTATCTGACCGCGCTGCAGTTCGTGCACAGGGACCTGGCCGCCAGGAACTGCATGTAAGTCTGTTTTAAGTTTAAAATTTTGACCCATCACAAGAAATGGTTCTCATCTAGAGCTTTCGACCAGTCACTCTGGTCTTCCGCAGTAAACTGACCTAGTGAGCCTTATTTGTCATGTACGTAGCTTCTCTGAAGTGTGACGTCAACACTGGGTCAAAGGTACCTGGTATCGGTTGAATGAAGGGTGACGACACTCTTCAGAGAGGCAAAGATCACAGAATTGTGTATATTCTCGCCGCAAAAGCGCCACCCACATGGGCTACATATAGCGGCAATAAACAGTACTCCAGTCAGAAGTTCCAAAAAAGGTGCTTGATAGTCACGGAAGCGTAAGCAGGTGAGAAACACTACCGGTTGTCTAAGAAGAAAATTCATACATCCTGTATTTGTTTCTTGTTGACCAGGGTGAACAGCCAGAGGAACGTGAAGGTGGCTGACTTCGGCTTCCTGATCGAGATTCCCCCCGAGAAGGACTCGGTGACGGAGCGCGGGATGGGCCGCGTGCCCATCAAGTGGATGTCCGTGGAGAGCATCGTCAGCGGCACCTTCTCCATGAAGTCTGACGTGGTGAGCTGAAAAAAGTCTTTTATATGATTTTTATAACCACGACTGTCTCCTAACACCCGGGAAAGCAGCGAGTGACAGACACACAGTGACACACGCGCGCTTAGCACTGTACCAGTGCTCTTGATCAACTACCTGCCATACTATCATAAATCATGAAACATCTAAGGATGGAAAGCTATAACTCATGTTCCCCTAGTTGTGACAATCCATAGTCTGGAACTTCTTGAATACATAGAAAAATACATGCAAATGAATTTTCCTTTTTTTTTCTTGAGATATGTCACAATTGGTTCATTTTTGTTTGTCAGTGGAGTTTTGGGGTGGTCCTGTGGGAGATCATCACGGCAGGAGCTCCGCCGTACGGAAGGTTAAGCAACAAGGACACCATGGTGCAGGTGAAGAACGGCTACCGGCTGCCCAAACCTCAGCACTGCCCCAGCGAACTGTGAGTAGTCTACGTACTATCGTACATGTATAAGGCCGTGATTGTTTGATTATATGGACACTCAAGTTTTTGACTTGTGACTTTTTTTTTTAATTTGGTGCATACTGAGCATAACTTGTGCATGTCCTTTTGATCACATGCGGT